TAGTGGCAACTTCAGGTTCGAAAGAAATCTGAATTTTCTTGAAGACGAATGCGGCTATGACATGCCAGCAACTAATGTTTGTAATGCATACCGCGTCTTTCAAGGGTGACAAATGCGACAAGCCGTGGATGTGACGTTGCCACCAACCACGTTGATTGCTGTAGCAACCTACGTTGTCGAGGGTGGTGGTAGAAATGTAGAAGGCTCTTTCCGCTTTTGGGTTGCATTTTCCCGCCAATGGATACCTGTTGCCGTCAGCAGCCCAACAAATGTGCACCGTTGTTACTTTATTCGGTCGATCGCGCCACGCATGAAAGCTGAAAAATGTCTCCACCTAAAGTGTGTATATCTTACGCTGTGGTTTTAAATACCATCATCGGTGCATAACGAGCAATATAACAAAAAGAAACAAGAATTCTATACTTGTTATAGCAATACCCACCAGCCTCGTGTGAAGGTAATAGTCATTCTTTTCCCTTCCACGTTGCCATTGCAAAGAAGTGCAAGCACCGTGTCATGTGAAGAGCTCTCCCTCGCAGCTGCGAATGGCAGATATCGTTATCAGGAGTCCCATTTCAGCAGCTGGCGCAAGTGCACAAACATCTGTTATGAGCAAGAAAGGCGCTGAGGCATTGAGCCTTTTGGAAAGTGCACACTTCGTGTGCACTCCCCTTGCAGTAGCTTTAGTTTCTACAATCTCATTTTGGATACTTCCAGAAAATAATTAGGAACATTAAGATGGTGAGTTTTTGTAATTGTTCAGATTGTGCCACTGGCATCAGAGAGCCTGCAGTTGAAATAAGAATGCAGAACTATGTTATAGTACCTTGTCGCGCCATCCGGTGCGGCATTGTTACTACACACTGCCGCGGTGCATATTTTTTTATAGTGGTTCACCTACTGCCATTCCACGAATACGAGTGATAGATGGGAAAGTTTTTAGAAATTGGTGGGAGAAAGAAATTGCTTAAAAGTATGAATGCTGGTGATCATTATTGATAATTGAACTTGGGGCTGAACATTTTTGGACAGCTTTCGATAAAACTTCTTCTACCGCTTTTTTTTTTTTTGAACAGTTTTTAAACTTACTGCTTCCGATGGAGGCTGAAGCAGGCATTGCCAACTACTTGAGTTATTAAAATTTGCATCGGTCATACTTTTACTGTACTCACTTGAAAAGAAATAAAATATCTAACTTGATTAATAGTGTTATACTGTGTAGTGGTGTCAGAGGACTTTCCAGATTTCTTGCTTGTATAATATTTAATATTTTGTCTCACTTATGCCTACTTACGGCAGTAGTGGTTCTGGTTGACTTGTGTGCAATGTGAGCACACTTTTATCATTCAAAATAATATAAAGAAAAGCTTTGTTGGCTTCATGTTTTTCTCTAAAGTGGCTTTTTTCAAGTAGAACGCAACTTTTTCTAGTGTGCGCTTCACTCACAGATAGCCTTCAGCATGTTGTAAAAGTTGTTGCTTAGGGTGTTGTATTCTGTCTGTTGTCCTCTGTACATCTCGAAAGCTGTAAATGCTGCTCGTATCGAACTCTTCTGCAAGCTCCACAAAGTGCAGCCACTTATTATTCTGAAGTAGATTGCCTGGGTTGCTTCCAGCTTTTGATAGAGCCTCGCCTGTGCGAGCGTGTAAGACCTCTCGTTTGCTAGAACGTAAGACGCACCACTAAAGATATAAAAACACTCGCAGCCAGTGCACACTTGACAAACTCCCGCCGTTTATCTCTCCAAAGTAGATAGCTTGGGTTTCCTCAAGCCTTTGATAAAGTTTCACTTTGACAGCACGCAAGGTCTTTCGCTGGCTGGGCCTTCAACTCGTTCAAGCAGACTGGTTCCTCTCATACTCTCAAATAATCTAGCTTCTAAGACAGGCAGATGATGGCAGGTGCTAATGTCCAGACTTCCCTCTATGTTTATCTCGAGCCTGTGGTTCACAAATGGCGATTTTGAAAGGCTATGGTACAGTCAGCCGACAATAGGCATATTTCAGCGAAAAAAGAAAAACACACATAGTAGAGATCCTATTGTTTTTCACTGCCCACTGGAGATGACGGCCTGAAGCCCTCACCATTTCCTGGCATTGCTTTTGTATACGGTTTTTTACTTACTAATCAAATACAAAAAAAAAACAAAAATATGGAAAAAACCTAGGCAGAATTGGCTGGAGTTTTGTTTCGGAAGCCATGCATCCATTCCACCAAACTACATCTCTGCTTTATCTGTGCACTTCGCTTTCAGACTTGGCCGTTAACCTGTCACTTTGAACTATATTTGCAGTTCTTTTACTTTGCAGGATTCGTTAAAAACGTGCAATTGGTGGCTTGATTTTATCCGCTGCTCTGTTCAACTTATCCTGTGGATATCACTTGAGTCATTCTTCCACTGCTGTCCTTTTTATTTTTTAATTTTTTTGGACTTTGCGCATGAGTTGCTCAAATGCTGTGTGAGGGCATTGCAGGAAGGCGGCATTTCATATCACATTGCCGTCGCTTTTGAATGTGACAAAGGGGACTATATATTGCTTGCATGCTCTTTTTTGTCTCTTGGTCACCGAGCATTGATGGTGCAGAGGGTTTACAAAAGTCTGATAGGAAGTCCAGTGTTTAGTTGCCTCATGCGGGTGACACCAAAATCTGTACACAGATTCCGCAGCTGTTGCAAGTCATGTAAAATTATCTTCACATGGAGATTCTTAGGAGGATCAGCAAAAGCTACATTTTTGGATGATGCCATCTTTTTCTACATAACTCTTACTTTAAAATTAATTGTTGCAGGTGTGCTTTGTTTGAAATCTTTGTTGTTAATAGTTAATAAAATTAAAAAAAAAAAGATGGGTTCTGCTTGTTGCTGTCGATGTTTGGCATATTTTTGCAATTTTTTCCGTAAGATACATCGCACTTTTACCATGTTGACTTCTGTCCTTGCTTCAGCAGCATCTTGTAGCATTGGAAAAAAAAAATTACTTGTTCTTAATGGAGGTCAGTAAACTGCAGGCTTCCGATGGCTGTTGGGTGTTTCCGGCTGTGACGCATCTTTAGTGCCGCCTCTGTTTCGGAATTACTAGGAAAACTTGAAACACCGAGAAATCTCGCACCGTGAAGCCGGAAATGGGACACAACAATTGTTTGCTGCTGATAGCAGCAAGCTAGATAGTGGTTGAGTGATGTTTCAGTCTATCGGAGAGGCGATGGCAAATGCCTTGAAACACGACGCGCCATGTGACGTGTGCCAGCAAAATAGAAAAAAAAATTGAACAAAAGGAAGACCTGATGCAAATGGAAAAACAACCATGGCACCCATAATCACTCAGAGGCCTTGCCACTTCACCCGAGAATGGTGCAAGCAGACACCCGTGCCCCCCAGCAAAGAAGGGTGGGTGTAGACACTCAATGCGCTAGCTTTGTGCTTCAGCGCGTATTTTCGAATGCATAATTGAGAATGTACCAGTACGTCGATGACAGCGAAAGGGTTATGAGCCCATGTGCGGCACAGTATTGTACGATAAAGATCATGCACTTGTGGGTGTACTTGTCATGGCAGGCTTTTTCTCTCCTTTTCATAGGCATTTTCCACTTTTGCTTCAACATTAGCGTGAAAAGTCGCGCTTCGTTTGAGCATTTGATAACTGTAGTTGGCTTCTACATTGATCTAGAATAAAGGGCCTGTCTTTTTCTTTTTTACAGCTTTAACTGAAAGTGGCACTTGTCCTTCGTTCCATGGTAGTCATGTGACTGCACTTTCCCTACCAGGATGGGACTTGACATGCAGTTTCTCTTCCTTTTGTTATCGGTCTTTGCAGCTTGTCTAACTCAGCTGTGTTGCACAAATAATCTGGATTGTTTGCGGCGAAGCCCTCCCCTTATCTGTACAGGGTGGTGTCCTCGTCACCATTGTTACAGCTGGTTAACTTGCTGTCTCAAAACAGTAAAAGTCTGCTGTGCCATCTGTAGTTTAGTCATAGGCTATTGTGGTCTTACCAAGGCCGGAAGCATCTTTGTTCGTTGAGAATTTGAACCCATAATTGCCAGTCTAATGACCATAGGTGAGATTTGCTGTTGTCAAGCAAGTAACTAGGTGCTGAGCACACTAATCATTAGATGAATATGTTATAACTTCGCTTCGAAGAAAATTTTGAGTCGTGCTTTTTACTCTCCACTGTATGCGAACATTTAGTCTTCTTTTCCATTTCCAAGATGTGGGCATCTGTGTGATAGAGATTTAGTGAGGATGTCATGCTTTACGATTTAATTGTGATATATTGAACGTTCACAGTTCAGTTAGAACTCTTAAAGTTCATGTCCTTCTCTTACCTCACCACCTTGTGAGCCATAATGTTGCGACACTGTTACCTCTGGGAAACAAATCTGGGGCCAGTCATTAAAGAGCCCCAAAACCACCCAGAGATAGGCAGAGTTAAACGCATTTAATGATCTGAAAGAGGCCTTCACTCGTTTCGCTCTTCACTACTTTCCATTCGTCAGCTCATCTCTCCTTCTTGCCGAGCGCTCCTCCTCACCATGCGAGGAATAGCAGTGAGCACGCATACGTGCATTATAAACATGTATTGTGAATGACGAGCTGATGAGAACGTTGACATCACAGCATTTGCCGAAGATAACTGAAATGCTCAGAGAGGAGGGATCATTTATTATAATTTTGGGGCACCTTTAGCTCGTAGCCCTGTCGCACTTGGTATTTTTAACCGGGATGGCATTTTGAACTCTGTACATGTGTTTACTTGTAATGCTTTGAATTGTCAGAGGTGGTGTTAGGGCCCATTGAAAAAAATGTATGCTGTACTAACTCATTCACTGCGTTCTGAGGCTTTGCAGTCTTGAAATCCTTAGTGCTCAATCAACGCTGGAAAGGAATACTGCCTATCGTGTTGGTGCTGCATTTAGGGCTTCACCAGTTAAAACTTGCAGCCTGTGTCATTGGTTCAACAGTGTGTTTATCAGGTGGATCATTCTTGACTTGCTTGCAGGCATCTACGATGGTGGGCACGGCATTGGTGCAACGGGGGCCTCCAGCCTTCCCGGCACCTGAGCAGACGGTTACGGATGGACCCATGGGAACGTTATTGACCAAGTTTACCAAAAAGATGACCGATCCCACTGACTATAGCCAAGAACAAGTTAGGTTCAACACTTTTCGTGGGTGGCCCCAGAGTGCCCCAGTGTCTGCAAAAAAGCTGGCCCAGGTAAGCAAGTTTCTCTCCCGAAAAAATAAATAAAAGAATGAAATGCACTGACGACAGACTTGTTGTAATACTAGTTTCTGATGGCGCAATAAAAAGCCCCCTTCTTTCCCCCCGCCCCCCCTTGTACTGATTAAACCTATAGCACTTGATCCGGAAAGTGCTTAGATATTTTCTAAGCAGGACTTCATGATTTGAAAATCTGCCGGAACGAAAAAGAAAATAATTAAGGCAGCCTTGCTCTAGTGGTGTAAAACCACAAGGAAGTGATTTTGTTTCCTTCCTTCTCTCATCTTTCCTGTTCTTTTTACCAGTTTTTCTCTCTATCTTTATTTTTATTAGTATTTTTTTTCTGTTTCTCGCTTGCTTCCTCTTTTTATTTTTATACGAGATTCGTTTTGTGTTCTAGCCACAGTAGTCGATCTCCGCATTTCGCATTATCAAGGCACTCGATGAACAAGAGGACCAAGACTTTTTTTTTACGCAAGCGCGTGTCTAATATGATACGGTTGGCTACGTTATGTGTAGGTTTTCCCGCGTTGATATCATCATTGTGGCGTGTGAAGAACAAGAGCAGGAAGACCCGTTAGGAGGGGGGGGGGGGCGGAATAGAAGGCGAGTCGGTTGAAAATGTGATTTTTCCATTTTCATGGCACAATGTTCTAGCACTTCTTACAAGTGCTTTCACGAAGTGGCTAGGTTGTATGTGCAATGGCAGGTGTTTGAGAATGCCCCCAAATACTCCTGCTGATCTACTGCACCGCGGAAACTCGACCTTCAAATGGCGTGTTCTCCGAATACTACTTTTCGTCAGAAAAGGACCATTTTCTCTGTAACCGCTGAAGCTATCAAATGGAAACGTTTGTGTCTTCTTTCTGAATACCATGCGCCCTTTCTGAAGCAAAAGTATGTTGTTTCCACGAGAATTATATTTTTTGCAAAACTTTTCCTTTAAGAAAGCAGCCCGAAAAGAATGGCCATGCATACGATTATTATTTTGGTTTGGAAGGATATCCTGGGCATATGTATTAACCAGAAGAGATTTCACCATTTTACATGCAAAATCTTTTTCACAAATGTTCCTTAAAAAATAAAACAGACGAATAGATTATTTCTTAATATATTTAGATTGTCTTTGTATTTTCTTGCCAAATTCACAAAATATATAGTAAAATCCCTGTTCAGCCAACTTGCAAAATTTTGTAATTTTTGCCTTCAAAAAACTGATTGATAAGCAGTAGTAGTTGCACACCTATCTGTGCTATCCATCCCTTTTTAAAATCATCATCAAGGTGCTCGAAGAACAACAGGAAAAAGACTTGATAGGCACCAGCACGGGCTCAATATGCTACAGTGCTGTATGTGGTTTTGCCTGCGTTACGCCAAATGTCTATGATGGAATATGAAAGAATATCGCATAGTGTGATAGAATTTGACAGAATGTGACAACAAGAAAAATTTGACAATACAATAGAAATTGACAGATTATGACAGAATCTAATGGCATACCACAGAAACTGATAACGTACAACAGAATTGGACGGCGTTACGAGAGCCTGGCCTGTTGAAGTGCTCTGCACTTAAAGGTAACACCATAGACATATCAGCCGAGAAAGGCAAAGGGGGCGCTAGCTTCCCCCCTCACTTTCGACAGTGCTCACTGTGGCTGCACGCTGGGGAAACGAACAACTAAGACGAAGTTTTCGTTCAGCACAGTAATCACTCAGTTATATTATTACGACGAAATGAAATTGTTTCGAAGAAACGTTACAATATAGTGACATTTTCCCAACATTTCTGGTGTGACGATTTTCCATGAAGGCTCTTTGTGGTCCGGTTCACCTATGCCATGCTTTCTCGCCTTGTGCTCTGGTGTCAGAGCAGGCTAGCGCTGAACAGGGGCTCTATCATTACATCACTTGTTATTCATGCTTTTATTCTGCTGTGACTTGCCTATGCAGTTATGGATGGTAACAAACAACCTTTTTATGGACAGGCTAAATCATTTGCTGCTTCGGAAAAATCATTTTCTTTCATCGAAGAGCAATAGCATCACGGCTCCTCTGTCGACCTGCTGGGAGACGATGATTGTGACCAATACTTATAAATGTTTTAGTTTTGCCGTAGTCTTCGATCAACCTGATTTGCCTTGCGTATGGTAGTTTGGAGCGATGCCGGCAGCTTGCAAGGTGGCGACGAATAAAGCAGTGGACTCGAGCATAGTGGGAAACTTGGATTTTAACTTGCCCCGCAACTTGACCCTCCGGACCAAAGAGAAGGTGGAAGACCATGGTTTTTAGCACTATAGATGCTTAATTAAGAGTCGGGTTCATTACATCGAAGTGTGAGCATGATGAATATATATTTATATATTAAGGAAAGAAGTGTATACTTAAGGGCTCGTTATCTGTGTTTTACACAATAATATTGAGATGTAACAGACAATAATGCCAAGGAAAGTATAGGGGAAGATATTTGACCGAATTGTAATTTAAATATGAAGAAAAGTAGGTGAAAAAATAACTTGCCGTGGGCAGGATCCGACACGGCAAGTTATCATGCAAGAGACAGGCAGTGTGGATAACGTCGCTTTCACTTTAAACATGTGTGCAAGGCAGTGGCGTTGCTGGGGTAACACACCCGGCCCGTGCCACCTAACCCCCCCCCCCCGCCTCGTAATTTTTTTCTGCTGTAGCATACAACGTGCAAAATGACTTTTGATCACATCTTCCTGAGCAGCACAAACTTCAGATCAAGGAGTGCGCCTCCCTTCCAGCCCCGACAAAAACTTCTGACTAAGCCCCTGGAACAAAGCATGTTCTTTTATGCTTAATTCATCGGATAACAGTGTTTGTGCACATAATATAGTATCAATTGACGAGTATCTTACACAGATGGTGCAAGTAATTGTGAAACCTGAATTGAGCGCTCATGAACAAAATGCCAAACATTCAGCCATTCTTAACAATAAGCTCTTTATTGGCTTTTTGTGTGGCCAAAGAGTGATCGTCAGTACATCAACTCCAATCATTGTGTGCATTGTTGGATTGTGTCCTTACTGTCCTCTTGTGTTAGTTTGTTCACTTATTCGGCCATTTCTTGCTCTCTTTGCAGGGTGGTTTTGTGTGCAGTGATGTACTCAGATTTCTGACGCGGTGTTACAGTTGTTCACTTATTCGGCCATTTCTTGCTCTCTTTGCAGGGTGGTTTTGTGTGCAGTGATGTACTCAGATTTCTGACGCGGTGTTACAGTTGTGGGCTCGAGGTTTCAGATTGGAGTATTGCGGACGTTGTTGTGGAAAAGCACCGCAGGCTGCGGCCAAGCTGTGCGTTTGTGCGCTCTCTTCCAAGTCCGCGTGTTTCGGCGGAGACAAGCCCCCAGTCGCCTTCAACCGCCACTTCATCCGCCGGTGCAACGCATGTAGAGAGGATGCACGTTGACAGTGTGGCTCCTTCGTTGCCGCGCACTGGCAGTGTGCCTTCGGTGCAAAGTCGGACTTTCGAGACTGTGCCACAGGGTGGTGCACGAAATGACGCTCCCCTTCATCGGCTTCAGGCGTCTGAGGAAGAGCGGTTCAACACGTTCTACGACTGGCCACTGACTTCTCCGACGCCGCGGACTCTCGCTCAGGCGGGCTTTTACTACCTTCATGAACAAGACAAGGTGCGTGTTTCTTTACTTGATTACTGTATTGCTCCACTGTAACAGCTTTATACTATTTCCTGTGAGTTATTTCAATTGACAACTGTTAATGGAACTTGCATCTCACCTTGTGAAATACTAGTAGGTATTTCATACCGCTTGATTTATCTAGGCGTGTGCGAATTTATCTAGGCTTGTGCGAATGATAAATTTTAGGTGTGAAGCAAATTTGAAGCAAATAGTGATTAGGTCAAATAGAATTCAAATAGGATAAATTGCATATTATAAGGAAAAATCAGCATATTTATTACTACACAACTAACCTGGGCAAACAATACTTTTTCAGTTAAAAAGGGCTAGGGAAATGTCACTCTTTTGGTTCAAAAGCAAGTTAGCAGAATTTGAGTTTCGGTAGAATGCAATCGATAAGCTGCACAATAGGTTACGTTACTATGCTATATGAAGCATGCTGAACATAATAACAAGTTTTTAAACTTGAATAAAAAAAAATTGATGTGGGTTTAGTATGTCCGTAGTAGGCTTCACGGCAGTGAAGATTTTTCGTGTATAAGAGTATTTACGGCATAGTGCCTCTCCACTGCCGTGACACCACCTTTACAGGGGGTTGCATGCAGTTTGATATATGTGTTATTTGTTCATTAGAACAATTCAAATTCACGTCGAAATGCGGGAATATCACGCATGCCCAGTTTTATTTTTTTAACAAATGCCTGTCGATGGTCGCTATGTCGCTGTTGTGCATGTCAAAACTCTTGCCTATATTCTAGGTCAGGAAAGTATAACTTGTGTCTCAAAAACTGAAGCAGCAATGACAGTGTGTTCTCTCTACAACATCAGTCTCTCAGAGATGTACCCCTCTTATGACGCAGTGTACCCAAGTTCAACTCTTAGCGGTGGTAGTCACAGCAGTTCGTAGCTACGGGGCACTTATAACAGTTAGACCATTTGTGTCCATAATGAGTGAAACATTGTTTCAGCTTAAAGGATATAGACATGCGGACTGCATTTGGTTTAGCATGAAGCAGGTGTCACTTACACATTTAAATATGCATGTGCAGTGACACTGTGTTAAAGGTGCAGGTGATACATTTCTGAAAGGGCACTAAACCAAACAGTTTGCTCATGCAGTGCCATTAGCTTACAGCAATATTGACAAACCCATAAAGTTGTAACAGTGTAACTGATTATTGTTATATCTGCTCCGGCGAAGGAGAAAAATCTTCCCCCATGCATCAGCAGAACACCTTATGCTCATTCAATAGCCATAAAGTTATTTAAACATGCTAAAAACAAGTTTGAAACCGGTTAATCGGTTGGCATTGTTGATGACATTTCCCTGCTTTGAGATCGTTACAATTTTGTCTGTATTTTTCGTATAGCTTTCAAACTTGAAACACTACAAGAAATCCTGATGAATTTGCTGCCTCTGTTCGAGAGATATTGGCGTGCACTTGGTGCCATTTTTCATGAACACACAGTGGGGGGAAACTTTCGTTAGAGATCGTTGTCAGGTGTTGTGTGGCAAAAAGTTCTTTCAAGCAACACCCCATTACAGATGTCCTAATGGCTGACTGTTTGCGGCACTTGTAAAGGGTTTTCCTGTGATTCTCTTCTAAGTGCTTTATTTTCATGTGTTTTGGGGATAAATTTTGGTAGTAAGCATCTTCCAGATAGCCAGGAATGTATCAATCATATATTCAATGTGACTTGTAATCTTATCATTACATATTTTGCTAAAGGGCAAGGGGAAAATTGAGAAATCTGAAAATTTGTATTTCAATATCTGGTGACTTTCTAAATTACATATTGCTGCCAAATTACCTTTTGACAATGCCATAAGCACAATTGTCGCCACTGCAAGGCTCTCAATAACCAGTCAAGCATGCAAAAAGGAAATGCAGGCGACTACACTGTCTTGAGATTTTGTATGAAGTCGCTGGGGCGTAGCAGATTTTTACGGCGTTTAGTAGTGCCCATACTATTCTTTTTTAAGAAGTAAAGTAGGGTTTGAGAGACCTAACAAAGCAAGTTTTGGAAAACTTCATTGAGCCATAATGGCTAAAATAGGAAAATGACTAAAAGGAATGAAGATTGCATGTGAATGTGAAAAAACTAGACTTACATATCATTTCTTTTGTGTAATAATGAAACCATAGTGGTGAATTTAATGATAGCTCTTGAGCAACAATTTGCAAGTCTATATTGATTCATTGTTTCTCTGTGGTGACCCTCTCATGTGGCCTTTACGGGAAGGGCCGACTATTTGCAGTCAGGCTTGCACCCTGACCTCGGAGTGTTCGATTTGAGTGTGCTCGACAGGGTACGACACAGTTGATGTAATATATGTTGTGTGCAGCTGTTTTGTTATGTAGCGCATATTATATGCGAGAGCAGTGCTCTCAAAAGAGCTACGCAAGAGTGCTTTGTCTCGTTCATGCACAGTTTCTGAACACCTTGACACCCTGGTTGTCGTGTTCAGCGATAGCTGAAATTCCGTAGACTTGCATCGGGAGGGTGCACTGTCGTGGGCCACGTCCCATCAGAACACCTGGTTTATAATTTTGCTGCTTTTCTTGAACACATGGTGACACAGCTTCCTCTGTTTGTTGCAGGTGAAGTGTGCCTTCTGCAAGGGCGTAGTGCACAATTGGGAGCCCGGGGACGACCCCCTGCGGGAGCACGCCCACCACTACCCGTGTTGCCGGTATCTTCTAAACCCCGACCTGGCCGGCCATGACGAGTGCGGTCACATGTCGTGGCAGCAGGCGCGCTCCGCGCCGGAGTGTGCGGAGCTGTTCATTGCCGAAAGGTGCGTGCGGGGGAGGCGGCAAGTGTCTCTTGGGGCAAATGCTAAAACCTAAGCAGTTAATGGTAAGCCTTATCATGAGCGAGAAATGCGTGAACATGTAATTGTAAAATGTGATTGCGCAGCTAGTCGGCAAAAGGTGCATGCAAATGAAACCGCAAGAGTCTCATAGGGCAAATTCTAATGCGTAAGCATTATTGGAAGCAGTAAGACAGCAAGTTGGGCCAGTTGGTTGGGATTCATAATGAACTTGGTTTACAGTGCAACACAAAGAAGGATATGGTGCTGACTCTCAACAGACTTTTTTTTTTTTTTCGCATGAGCAAGAATTGCAGTAATATGTAATTGTGATATGTAAGTATATGTACAAACATGCAGTGCACATTCACAGGGCTACTTGTATTGCCATGCTGTTCTGACAGCGCATATGGGGTCTGTAAATAGTAGATACTGTAGCGATTTCACCTGACCTAGTGATGTTGTGGCTATGACTTTTTGTTTGCATTGCTAAGCTGAGCTCTGTTTCCTCATATTCAATCCCCTATCGTGGTTAATGCATTTGAGTAATGTGCAAGGACAAAAACACTCACGTAAAACGTACCTCGTATAGTATGCCAACTTTGACGTGTAAAAGTAAAATGGAAAAATGGCAAACTCTTGCTACATTGCCTTGGTGACTGTTCAGAGACTCTACTCCTTCTGCCATAAGCTGTCTATCAGTAGGCTAGCGGACCTGCTGGGTTAATGTGCAGTGTAGTCTTTGATTTGAGCAGTGAATGGCAAGCTAACTAAGGGTTCCCTTGATGTTTGGTTTGCCATCAACAGTATCGTCAGCCATCTGACCATCCCTCATTTGAGTAGAAGTGCCTATTTCAATATTGAAGACCTTACTTCGTGTCAACCATTGACAAAGTGTAATAAGAATAGAAAATCCCTTCATAATCGCTGCAAGATATTGTGGCTTCGAAGCTAGTTATTTGGTTGGAAGTCTGACCTTATGTGATGGGAAAGTAACACTGCAAACACGTATTGGGGTATATTGTTGGTGCGCGCTCACAGACAAATTGGGTTCTCTTTATAGCGCCGAAGGACAAGGACTACAGTTAAAAGGAAACACTCCTTCGTCAGAGCTATCTGGCCTCGGCGTGTCTGTGCACGTCGGCCCCAAGCATCCCTCGCAAGCATCGCCCGACGCCCGGCTGCGGACTTTCGAAAAGTGGCCCACAACGTGCCCCAAGCGGCCCCAGGAATTAGTAGTGGCGGGATTTTTTTACATTGGTAAGTGCAAACAGTTTTTGTCCTAGGCCACTTGGTGCCTTGAATTCAGACTTGTGCTAGAAAATGCATTGGCAATATTATTTGCAATACAATTGCATGTGCAAACTCCTCTCTTAGTGATCACTGTACTTCCTTTTTGCGGCCACTTTCATGTGAACTGCAGTTGATTTGTGAACTGCAGCTCGACAAGCCCCATCGTGTAATACCTGCCTGTGTGTCTAGTGGAAATCAGTATGAGAAATTTTGTTAACCTGACAGTGTGGATGAGATACCAGGGAAGAAGAGTTTTGCGAGCCATGCAGCTTGCTAAAGAACCGAGACCTAGGCGTCGTCAGTGCCGAGAAAATGGAAATGTAGGCAACTGTAAACCTGTGGTAAAGACCTTCACGATTTATAGTAAACAGACATAGAAGACAGAGTACTTGTATGAGACGATTTGCTGAGACGTTGTGGTAGTATCAACATATCCAGAGAAGGCAGCCCCTGCAGATTGCTTAGAGAACCTATCCCGTTGTAATAAACTTGCCTTGCCTTCACTGGCCACCCTGGGATACCTTTCTTGGCTTGGTTTGGCCGACTCCGAAATAATGACTGACCTGTCCCCTTGCCTTTGCCCACAGGCGTTAATGACTATACAAAGTGTTTCCACTGCGACGGCGGCCTCTGCAACTGGGACGTAAATGACGACCCCTGGGAGGAACACGCCCGTTGGTTTCCTCGTTGCCAGTTTGTGCTGCTGTCCAAGGGCGAGTCGTACGTGCAGGACTGCCTCAAGCGACACCAGTCGCACCTCAGTGCGGTGAGATGACTCTTTCACTTCTAGAAAATGCCTCATTGAAGATAGTTAAAGCTCATATCTGCGAGAAGCAGGCGAGGAGGACCCGACAGTGTAATGCTTTGGTTTAGCACGCCTTTTTTGTATGGTCTTACTCAGCCTCCTGTGTGTTGTTTAGAAAAGCCTGTGTACTTACACTTCCTGCGTTTGCCCTTTTGCGATTCCTGTGTGTGGCCTGTGCCACGTGAATGCGTTACCATTACTCTGTGTTCGCAAACCGGTCTGATAGTCTACGCAGATAAAGTACAACTGATGAAACTCAAGATCTTTGCATTTGCCCCAGCCTTACTTTCGGCAGATGTTTAGTTTTCTGAGAAATTCACATTGGACCCGAGTTTTGATTTAGTTGTTCTGCTTCTCCCTGTAAAACAGTTGTTTAAGGGACGCAAGTGTAAGCCCCACATAGCAATGGAAATGCAGGATTTTTTTAAGGTGAAAAGGCGCTTCTGTGAGAACTGCCAATGGGAGCGTTGAAATTTTTGTGGTATTTGTTGCCCTGGATATTTGGACGACATGTGGTAATGAGCATGCATGTGTAACAGTTCAGGTGGTGCATGTTGAATGTTTTTTTTGTGTTGTTGCAATGTAAACACGATTTTTTTGTTGTTGTTGTTGTTGTAACAACTTTGGAATTCAGTTATAAGTAAGGCCTGTGTCAAAAGTTCACACTTAGCTACTATGGTTTTGTATGTGATATAAGTGTACAAGTTGCCATGTTTACTGTAAATGAAATGTGTGATGCCAGTTTTTGATGTGCATGTTGCAGTAAAGTGGGTCGACTTATAACAGGCAATGTAAAACTTGGCACCTGACTTGTAGAGCTAGGCATAAGCAGGCCAATGGAACAGTTGCATGCGCAAAGCTTGCAACTGCTTCGTTGCAGCAAAAGTCAGTTCAAACACACCGTTTCGATAATCTAGTGCAAGGGCTGCAAGCGATAGAGCTACGATAAACAGTGCACATTGTAACATGGCATTGATGCAGAACTGGAGGCGACAGTTGGGTGAGAGCTCATCGGCGGCTTTGGGATGGCAGTGACATCTCCTATTACGTCAGCTGTCCTGAAGACAGGTAGTGTTGGTTGCTAGATCTTGGTCCGCAGTCCTTTCCTCATGTCGACCTTCATCTTGGCATGGCGGCGCACCAAATTCTCAAGGATCATCTCTGTCTTCTCTCGCCTAATGGTTTTCAGCAGCACAATAATTCGGCATTTCAGTGTCATCCCTGTTTCGTGGCCACCTGCTGTGTTGTCTGCTTTTTTTTTTTATTTTTGTCCCATCTTGGGGTAGCGTCTCCAAGTACCATACTTGTCCTGTCCTTCAGTGGGCTGCCATTCATCTGCCCTGCTCAGTGTGCGGGGTCGGTTGCAGTGCTTGTGTCTTGTGTCTAGTGCACCGTCTTAGGTTGGCCTACCACTGGGAGCTGCTACCTAATCGTCTTTTTTCATCTTTTTTTTTTTTGTTCTTTTAATACAGGTGGCAGCCAGTGCATCAACGAGTTCCCAAGGACAGTCTGGAGGTGCAGAAGACGGAATGACAACTGAACTGGCGGCGCTCATGCGATCCGAAGACGTGCAATTCTACTTGTCACAGGGAGTCCCTGCCCAGACTCTGCGGGCTGCATTGCTGAAGCACATGCGGAGCCAGAATCGTGGCTTTGCGAGCCGGGATGAGCTTCTACAGGTTCTTGGCGAGCTTCTTACCCTGCCAAGGTACCATTAGGCCCAGTTAAGCGTGGAGGAATGCTATCGAAAAGGCTGTAGGACAGATTACCATATACCGTATTTACTCGATTCTACCGCGCCCTCGATTGTAACGCGCAACCAATTTCCACCGCGAAAAAAAAAAAAAGCAAGACATCGATTGCAACGCGCACCCATTTTTCTCGCTGGCCTGCACAATCACACCACTCGAAAAAAAAAAAACGACTTCTTTCGGGAGCGTCTTCCATTTAAATATGAGGTACAGGCGAAGCTTGTGCCCATCTGACGTGTTACAGAGCATTGCCGTCACTGTAGTTTTACCGTGGACCGATGTCAGCACGCGAACTTGCTTCGCTCCCTTCTTCTCGACGGTTGTGGTGCCAGGCATGTCGAAGTAAAGAGGCGTCTGATCGGCATTCCCCATTTGCCCAAGCATGTAGCCGTTGTTGCGCCGCAAGTTCAGAACGAACCTCTGAAAACTGTGAAGCTTTTCATCGTACTCCTCCGCAAAACTTTTCGCATATGCATGTACCCCTTCGGAGGGAAAAGCCTTTCCTCTTCATAAAGTTAGTTAGCCAGCACCTGCTCGCTTTAAACTGGCTCCGCATTAGACCTTTTTCTAAGACCAATTGCATAGCCCGCACTTGGAGCAGTTCTGTCGTCACGGGCCACTGTGCCGCTCGCTGCTCAAGCACATACTCGCCAAGCAGCTCTTTAATTTGCGGAAACCGACCCTGCTGTGGTCCACTGAAGCCTTTGCGTGAAGCTTTGCTGTCGACAATCTTCTGCTTTTGTTTCCGCCGGTCCCGCACGCACGTTTCGGGAACTCCGAACGACCGCGATGCGGCCCGATTTCTGTCCGTTTCTGCACACGCGATGACTTTTTTTTTAAAAGCGGCATCGTGGTGCACTCAAGTTTTTGGAGTCAGCCCTTCCACGCCGTCGATGCTAATGCACTTCTAGATGAACTCCTCAGCACACGTACGAAGTGCCGCACATGAGAAACACATAGGCAGAAATGGCCGACGTGCCATGCCGACGCACATAGGGGGTGGCCATTTTGAATTTGCCGATGGCAATAGATTGACCGTAATTTTTTTGTTCGTACTCGATTCTAACGCGCATGCGATTTATGAACTGGCTTAACCGGAAAAAAGGTGCGCGTTAGATTCGAGTAATTACGGTAGGTCAGGTTGATACCTAATGATGAACTAAAACATCCTTATTATAAACACTAACACTTTAGTTATTAATTACCTTCTTCACTTGGGACAATAAATTATGCACAGTTGAGTCCCACTACAGTTAAACCTGTCTGTGAGAACCTCAATAGAATGAATTTCTAAATATTGTGATGTTTTTCTATTCCTCACCATTACTTCACTATTCATCACATTAGCAGCACGTCTATTTTCAACCTATACGTAACGAAGTGGCTGTGGCAGACACCCTTGATATAACGAGTTTTCGACGCTGACAACTTAAGAATTTTGCCCCGAAATCAGTCATTTTGGCTCGACCGTACATCTTCTGCAGTTGCCCTGCTGACAACAAAACAGCAGCACAGTGCACGACACGCTTGAAGTACAGCAGTACTGTGGGGCGAGAGCGAGCGCCTCGGAAATGCGTAAGCTGTGCCGGTGCACTTTGAGTGCCGCCGTACTGGTCATCGTGGCCGCATGTGCGAATGTGCCGTCTCCCTCCCCACAAAGCAAGAGTGGTTTGGCACATTCCACAGTGGCTCCAATAACGCGACAACGCGTTGCTGGAATGGGTTCCTGGTCAGTGATTGAGAGCAGCGAAAATTGGATCTGTTTTCTAAAAAAAGAAGGCATTGTGCTTTCAAATCAGACTGGATGACTCGGGCACAAGATGAAGTGTGGAGTTATCGATCGCAAATCATATCAACTTGTGTGCCGAGCATGTTCGTTGGGTCATGCGACGAATGGTGGAAATTTGGCAATCAAGTTCGTAGACATTGTGTCTGCTGTTGCTTCTTATCGTGAGACCTCTTGCGATATAGCTGCAATTGCTGACACACTTCGATAAAGCCCATCGAGCGTGCTCTCGAGAGTTATCGGATTAGATAGCTGTCACCCATTCATTACGGTTGCTGAGCTGCTGCTGTGGCACTCTCTGTCTTCGGTGACTGTTTGAGGCCCTAGAATCTTGCTAGGCCTACGATTTTCATGCTTCAGAAAGCCAAGCAGGCACATCTTGCGGCATGCCATATAAACAGCCGCACTTCTCTGGGTGTTCTGAAGCCGTGCAACACTTGTCATCTGGCTTGCTCGTCATCGCTCCCCAGTGAAACTTTGCACGGTACGGTTTTCTGTCAATAGCGCTGTGGCCTGCTGATAGAGCGTGTGGAGTGCGTGACCTGGAAGTGCAGCACGTGGTGATAAACAGGAAAAGGCGCGTAAGATAAGTGACGGCACATTCCTGTGGGACAGGAAGGCAGCCTGAAAGGTGCAACTGTCCCAAGAGTGAGCTCTCGCAAAGGAATTTGGTTGCGAACCCCGCCGCGGTTTGTCTAGTGGCTAAGGTACTCGGCTGCTGACCGGCAGGTTGCGGGATCGAATCCCGGCTGCGGCGGCTGCATTTCCGATGGAGGCGGAAATGTTGTAAGGCCCATGCGCTCAGCTTTGAGTGCATGTTTAAGAACAACAGGTGGTCAAAATTTCCAGAGCCCTCCACTATGGCGCCTCTCATAATCATATGGTGGTTTTGGGACATTAAACCCCACTTATCAATCAATCGTAAATTTGATTGCAAAGTCTCAGAATATGGCAAATAAATCTTGATATTCTTCCTTTTTGTTCTACATCATTACAGTTTGGTTAGCATAGAGTTACTTTATATTGTTTTTTCCTGCAAAAATTTCCCACACTGCCCTGTGCTTCAGTTCTAGTTGGGGATAACACAAAGAAAAGATGAACTGCTGCTTTGTCTGCATTCATATCTCAATAAAAATAATGTTTTTTGCAGTTTTTTGCCTACTGTGCTTAGTTGAAAAAAAGTTTACTGTAGTGTACACTTCCACTGCTTGTTAGAATATCAATGGAGATTTTTTTTTTTTTTCTAAAAAAAAAAAATTGTTGGGAGGTTTTTCCTAGACCTAGAGACTCGTCAGTGGTGCAAGTTTATTGGTTCTCATGTCAACCACTCAGTGGATCAGAATGAAAGAGCCGCCATTGCCACTGCCATTAAGCGCACGAACCATCATTTTGAGGTTTAGTGTCCCCTTCAAGTTCATTACATTCTGTTCGATTACAATCTACGATTTGTCATATCCTCGTTCAATATATACAAGTGTGTAATCAATAATAAACCTCATTGTGCAGGTATTGGCATGTAATTAATGCTTGCTCGTCATGTTATATGTAATGAAAGTATTAGATGTTATTGAAGACTTCATTATAATGTAGGTTTGAATGTAATACACTCAAACCTCGATCTGAAGAACCCATATATAACAAAATGTCGATCTAAGGAAGGAAATGAAAAAGTCTTGCAATAGATATTAGTGTTAAAAATAAACCTTTATAACGAATTTTCGTATATGACAAACTTAATTTTGTGGAAGGCGTAACTTTGTTTTATAATGAGGTCGGAGTGCATATCAACCTGCTGTATGTCCGGTTTCATTTATACTGGTTAGCAGTGACATCACTGGAGCTACTGCAGTGATGAAATTTTTCACTTCCTTCTTTATTGAAATTATATTTTAGCTGCAGTTGTCAGCACCAATGGGATAAGTGTGTTACAATTTTTGTTATTAGGGGCACTTTCATCTCATGCACAGCTTCGTTGCATTGTGCAGGGCTTCAGCCGACCAGAGTCCACAGCGTTCGGCTACAAACAGTGTCACGATCACCAAAGTGGCGACAAATCCTCAGACGGAGGGCATAGTTTCTGGTAAGTGGATTTTTTTTTTTTTAATTGCCTGCTATACAGCAACTTATGTCAGCATTTTTTCCAGAAAACAGGTTTTTAATTTCACTGGAATTAGTTACTAAACTACTGGGTGTGAATCATATATAAAAACTAATAATTTCCTTGGTGAATATTCTCAAATGGGGGGAAAATTCGCTTCTAGTTTGAGGCTTCGGACCCAGAGTAATGAATCTAAACAAGTAATTCTGCATTTACTTGCATATTGATTGCACTTTTTGTAGCAAATTTAGGATAATGTGGATGTGCACTGTGAATTTCGATTCAAAACGAAGGGTTCTGGGAAGCCACCCTGGCGAGAATATTTTATTGCATGATGGTGCTTTGGCGGGGCTGGTTGTTAAACATAACTTTTCTTAATTCTGAAGTGTTGTGAAGGTTATTAGCGGGTGCCTCTGCGGTATTTTCTAATGTATTCGAGAGAGCAAATACCAACTGTCTTTGCGGATCACAAAGTAGTTTAAAACTGTCCCACAGCATGAAAAAAAAAAAAAGGTCTGTGTGCAGCATGGCATTCAAGTCCAGCTAGTTTAGCTGTTCCTTAATCTCGTTCGCTCACGGAGCCGCACGTGCACATTACCTTCGGATGACTGCAATTTTGTCAACGCTCTTCATAGGAGCAAAGAATGCATCGTCGGAGAGTCTTACAGAAGGATTAGAGTCTTCAGATTTGGCTCTGGAAAACCTGCGGCTCAAGGACCAGCGCCTCTGCAAGGTGTGTCTCGACGCCGAGGTAGGCGTCGTGTTCCTGCCGTGCGGCCACCTGGTGGCTTGCCCTGCTTGCGCCTCCGCCCTGTCAGACTGCCCTGTGTGCCGCGCGTCCATCCGCGGCACCGTGCGGACATTCTTCTCGTGAAACCAACGATAAAGAGAGGAAGTGTGTGCACGAGATCCTCCAGCTGTAACCTGCATTTTCGGCAAAGCTTTAGTTTAGAAGGCAATGGGCCCTTGTTAAGCTGTTAGAAAACGTTTCATTCTTAAAATATTTCCCGCCTTTCTTCTCTGGTAACTCGAAACCTTATTTCCCTGATAATCCTGTAAGACCACAGGTTAAGGCGTACCTATGCCGGTAAACTGTATGCAGATCTTGCGATGCGTGCCTGCAGTGTTTTGTGCACCTGCGGTAAAACACAAGGTGCATCTTACCGCTCTTAAGGGAGAACAATCGGTCGCGAGCACTTTATTTTTTTAATGCCGTGAGCGAGACCCGTCATGCACATCAGTAGATTAACAGGCCAATTTCATTCACAAAAGAACACTTACTTTCAACGATTTCTTGGGTCTGTTGCCTTCCACCCGAGCGGCAGGTCTTGAAACACCTGCCGCATGCTCGGTAAGAGAACTCGCAGCTCGCCGAGAGGTGAAAGTGGCGAGCTCTGAAAATTGTGTCGATGGCGTCGCAGGAGAAGGGGTGTGCCTCGGCTTTGCTATCCTCTGTCTTGGTTTTATTGGCCTATAGTGCAGTTTTGCCAGAGAGATGCTTATGGCTGTTTTGTGACGTTTGTAAATATTGCAACTGAGCGTCAATAACCAGCACAGGGCTTTACAGGTGTAGCCATGCTCTCGTCAGTTGTATCGATGTTCTCCAAGATGTTAGTCCGAAGTAGCTTACATGCAGTGCCTGTTGGGAAATTTTACCGGCTTATCTGGAGCAGCATTTTTCTGCCCGATGGACAGGGGGGAGTTGATAACGGACTAGTTCGGCAAGTGCAGCCTGCTCCAAATAAGCCTGTGAAATTCCGTGAAGTCATGAAATCAGTGGAAACCATGGAAACGACCCCCGTGATCATTCCCTGTAATCATCCCTGGAACGAACGCATGGAATCAATTTGTGGAATAATTGGCAGCAAGTGTGGGTCTAGGGCAATGGTTAACTATTAACGCACCAGCTCTTTTTCTTTATTGTGGCACAGGCAAACTTGGGACTTCGTCAGTCACAATGTTATGTAAAACGGGCAAGACACCGTACAAGTACCACTTCTTCTACAAACTTTTTGAAAGGTAACTATTTCACAATGTCCTGGTCAAGTCAAACACTATGGGTCACTTTTAGTGGCATTTCAGAAGTGTTATTGCCATTCTAGCTTACTTTGCTTAGTTGCCCTTTAAACGAGATTACATATTTTAATGACGCCTGCATTTTTATGTACATTGTTTTGACATCATTACCTTTAACAAGAAAAGCACAGCAGAAAGTTATTATCAAGCCAACACGTGTAGCTTCAGTATATTTTTGTCGGTGGAAGCATTTCACGTTTTCCTAGAAGACTAATGCCAGCTGGAAGCATTGCATAGTTGCTTTGTTACATTTATTAATCAGTTACGCTCACCATTTGTTAATCAGATGTACTTACCCTTTACTGTTTTTACGAGTACTCACCTGCCTACCAAGGATTACATAACGCAGCAGACCTTCAAACTGTTTCCTTCTCTTCTAGCAACGACAGACGTAGTCTATTTTTGTTCAAGACTGGACTTCTAAACTATAGAAACACTTCATTAATCTCTCTGTAAGCTCTAAGATACTTTAATTCTAGGTTTGCTACTGCGGGAGTCGCATCACAATTTAGTCACGGTACACGGCACTTCGTACAGTTGCAGAGCAAGTTGAGGCACGACGTTGTCACTGTCGGAATGTGAACTGTGGCGAGAATTTGAAGACGAACGTAGATTTGTTATGCTTATTTCAATTTCGCCAAGCACTCTTCATATATCTGTTATCGTTTAAGGTGCCAGATTGAAGGTTGTTTTTGGAAGACATGGCTATTTACAAAGCCATTAAGAAGTTTTCTTTTTATTGTGATGTCTATTTATTTAATAGGATTAGCACTATCTGTTTCTTAGGTTCTTCTCTTTATGCATAAAAGCAAATGCAAATTTTTTCAAATTGCAAATGCTAATTGTTACTAGATTTTTTTAGTAGAAAGCTCAGTGCAACTGACTCATTCTAGGTGGCTGTAAAGAAAAAAAAAGTACGCTTATTCATCTTCATCACTTTTTCAAGGACACCTTTCTTTTCATTCAACTGACAGACACCTCTTTAGCCAGAAGCTGGCGCGAGCAGTTGCTTATTCAATGTGAGATCTTGCTACGGCACTTAGAGGCAGCTAGCTCATTATCTAGTTTCTGACGCGAGTTTTTTTTTTTTTTTTTTTTTCGTTGTGCCGTAGTTTAGTCTATTAGATGAATTTTAATGTCTTTGTACCAAAGCCTGTATATCTTTCTGGTGTTCAAATATTCATTCATCTTAAGGTGCAAACTATTGCACAACTTGTTTCTATGCATAGACTTCTGTGTGTGGCTGTGCTGTCAATGCCTGTGTGCTGTCGGTGTCTTGTCACTGCGATGGAGCATACTCGCCAGCAAGCAGTGCCAGTTCAGTCACATTTGATTGCATTCAAAAGTACACGCTTTTCAGCTGGCCAGATGTGGCACTACTGATGTATCGAAATAAATAAATTTTTGCCACCTCTCTGTGGCGCTTTTGTGAAAATGTGTATTTTGCAAAAGTTGTGGCCACGGGAATGCAGGTGTTTTATATGCCTCGAACTGGAGATTTGACAGAAATAAAAATTGGCCTGAATCTACATTTTACACTGTAAATGTCGTCGAAAGACGATAGTCTTGCGTCTGGAGAGAGTGAACAAAACGTTTACTTGATGTTGTGCGTAAGAAAATGGATGAATGGTATTCTGGAGGCGCTGCGTTAGAGTGCCTCGAGCGTGTGGCGGAGGCAAACAAGCGCATCTAGGCACATTAGACACAAGTGCCATCTGGCAGTTATCTTCAAAAACGAAGGCGTGCAGCCCGTGAGGAAAGATGCATGCCAGTCTTTGAGGTGATAAGGTGTAGAACGCAGAGGGAAGGACAGGTGCCACCACCGTGACGTCGTAGCAAAGCGTTGGAAACACCTTTTTAGCATCGCGTTGCACCTTTTTAGCATCGCGCCTTTTTAGCATCGCGTTGCACCTTTTTAGCATCGCGTTGCAGCGCAGCGCGATTAAACGCTACATTCCTTGGTTACTTGTGTGTGCCTCTTCTAGTATAAAGGCAGACATAGAAAACATCGACGCATTGTTATGGTGCCTCAGATATATGCAATAATTGCTTTTTAATTGACAATCGCACAACTATGAACGCAAAACCTTGAGCAATATATTGGTGGACGCTGCGGATGGGGTTGGCCGTTTGGTGCCGATGGACAAATGTACAGACAGATAGACCAAAATTTTTTCGACGAAGGTCCGCAAGAAATACTATCGTCTTTAAAAGGGAGATTGCTGGATTCTGCTGTTTCTTCTGCTCGGAACCAATACGAGTGTCCTGCATAGCACGCTGACGTGCTCTCGGAAGAGCTAGTTTGCTCTGTGATTTTCGTTGCCTGTAGTGTTGCCCTTTCAGATCTGTAAAATGAGATCAAATTAGCTGCAAGCATCCCAATTTCTAATCGCTGCAGTAGTACTTTCACTAAATAGCGAAAAGTATTTTTTACATGGTTGAAGTAATGGATGAGTAATAAGTACAATGGCAACAAACTTGATGTTATACCAAGTAAGGACAGCAGTTTGCTTCTTTAGGGTCTCACCTGGCGAAAGTCCACAAAGGGGGAGAAAGGTTCAGCGAAAGGCAGATTAACCGGAAAATTTTCCAGTTTGCTAACCTGCGCTGAAGAAGGGGTAACACTGCCACAATAAGGTGCCGCAGCTGAGGCTAGCAGAGCTCCTTTCACGCTGTTACTTCTACACTAAACTGAGAAATTAAATGCAGCTTGTACAAAGGTACGAGCAGTCGGCTGTTTTCCGTGAAGATGAGGCACATGCAAGCTCCAATTATGCCTGCCGGAGCCACGCAAGTCCCTGTCCCGAGACCCTCCCATTGACCACGAGAGCAAAAATGAACCTTGTAGGTCTGTGTAATAGCTCTCGCTCCCACAATAAAATTGAAGCACTGCATTGAAGATAGTTTGCACCTTTGTTGTAGCGAAGTTGCAAAATGCATTGCTTAAAATAAAAGAGGAAGTACGGCTCCGTAGATTTATTGCCGTAATTTTCATAGGAGCGGATTTGTAAAGCGCCAGTGGTTGCGCTGTGCTACCATAAAGCTTGTTGGTCTGGCCTTTTCAGTGTGCTTTGATGTTGCTGCAGAGCTCGCGTAAGACCAGTTTAACACTTGAGAAATGTAAAAGAGCAAAGTGGTTCCCGGATGACCTTATCATGACTGAAAAACCCTCGTTTTCCTTTCAATGCATAGTCGTCTGGCAGTGTCATTGAATCATTGCCAGAGGGTGTTGAAACAACTCAGTTAATTTTATGACATAATTGTCTTTATACCGGTGAACATAATACTGACATCTAGTATTTTTTGTTTTGTACTTTCACTGTCTCGTAATTTTCACCCGTGTTGCTTTCTGTGTTGATTTCATCGCTGCAAGTTTCTCTGTATGTCTTGTTACTGTGCTTTTTGTAGATTTGATATTCTTTTGTTTTGTGTTTTTGTCAGCATTGGCCTGAAAAATGTGCTAAGGACTGCAAAAAAATGGCTGAGAAGGACGTTTGCATCCTCTGGGCAGAATCAATTTAGGATTCGCACGTTCTGACAGGACGTATTGTTTGAGAAAGTAGGCACAGTGTGGTATAAGTGTGCTTAAGAACAGACATGACGGGTTTTGCCTGAATCGCAGGCTTTTAGCACTGTTGGTGGATGTAACAACCATAAATCTCCATGTGGGGCAGTTCGTTTGATACATAGCAAGCAGCGCTGTGGCAGCTAAATGGAGTCCTTGCTTCCAGTATCAAGTCCAGTGTGTATTGGAAGCAAAAATACATACGTATGTCACTACGGGGTAACATATGTTGTGCATTTATTTTGCACGTGCACTATAAGATGTTGGCAATGTAATTTATTACGTGACAGTTATTTAGCAGAATATGCACTGCAGAATGTGCGTAGCGAATAATTTCTGCTTTTGTGGTGTTGCTTGTCTAGTATCGAACAGAATACAGGAATTTCATTTCAGATAACACATGGTGATTGTTGCGTCGTATGTTGCTGTAGTTTTGCTGTGTATGTGTAAATATTTGGTTGCAACATATCGTGCAGCATTTTATTATTTGTACATATAGTTATTTCGTTTTGCACACTTGACAAATGCAAAGATAGTTGCAAGGACATGCTTGCGATGCAGTAGAAAATATGCACAAGTGCCTTTAGCGATGTGCCTCGATCATAAATGCCAGCTGTGTCTGCATGGCATTGAAAGGTCACCCTCCTAATTCACATTGACACTTGTTTCTTTTTGGAAGTACTAGGCGGGAAGCATATTACGCCTATTAGTGTCAGTGGTGTAAAACTGGATGGCACGGCTGCCATATTTGCAATTCTGCCATCTGAACTTCCTGGCTTTTAAGAGAGAAAAGGCTTCTCTTTTCATGGTTTCACTGAATTGGCCTCTCGAAAAGAATTCTGACTTCAATCAAATTTAAACTTTTTTTGCATGATTGAATCATCGGCTCACTTCAGTATCCTCACGGCAGAAAGTCTGATTATCGCTCTTTTAGAAGCATCGTTATCATGCTCATTGGGTATAGAGAATGTAATCCATCTATAAGAGAATACCATTCATAATCATATACTGTTGGCATCAGTATACAAACTGTTACTTGCCTGCTTTTTTTTTTTGTTGATCTGGGGCACATAGTGAGCTATCTGTATAGTAGCAAATGTTGCACTTTATGTTTTTAATATGATATTTCCGCCTCTTTTAATATAATCTATCAACTATATTTCGTCTATTTTGGAAACTCTCATTACATGACAGAAGAACAGACACAAAGCTTGTCAAACTGTGCTTTCACAGCTAAATGATACAGCTGCTCTCATTGCAAGGGTTAATGGCAGTACAGACACAGTAACACATTTCAAATCAATTGGAAAATAATATTTTAGGATTCATTGATGGGCCCTAATATTTCGTGGAAATTGAAACATACCTTTCCGATGTCATGGTTTGACAGCAAGCAGCTCTTGCCGTATTGATAACTTCAAATATATTATTTCATTGTATATCGTTTCCTTTCATCACGGTGCCATCTTGCTGGTTCAGAAACCCCACAGCCCATAAACTGGGATGCTCTGCAAGCAAGCTACGGTTCAGTGTACACCTGCCTTGAAAATGAATCCTTACAATAACCACCAAAATGATTTACTTGTGGCCTGGGTGGTTGGGAAATCTTCGCACATTTAGTTGATGCCTTAACCTTAAATGTAGAACTGTCATCAGCTTCTTTGAAATGTTGCAAGCTACCATCTCTGTATGGAATAGAAACAATTACTGACATTTTGTGCAACTTCTTAAGAGTTTTGTGATAGAAGGGGCAAGTTCTTAATGCGGAATTATAGATGCATTGTTTTGAGTATGACGCAACAAAGTAGACAAAGAGACTTTTAAACACGTGAACACAGGTTGATTCTCGCGAACCTGCCAAGCCGTCGGTTTCTAGATGCATGCAAACACAAAACATAAAAATAAATGCGAAAGAAGTCACTGCGTCAGCCTAAGTAATCAGTGAATTATTATGACAGTTTATCTTCGGTTAGAAGTAACATTATTTACAAAGAATTCATGGCTGTCATGAGATGTTTGCCTGATTCTCAGTTCTGCAAACTTCAGCATATAAGAAGCACCGCAAACTCTGCCACTTGTTGGCGCATAGCATACTGCTTATTTTAATAGCAAAGGCTCAACGTTGTCCTCAACATGTACAGCATGAATAACAGCGGGGACATAAGAGGAGGAGGAGAAAAACTTTATTCATCCCAAGAGGGAAAGACAGGTGCGGTGGTGGAGTGTCAGAGGAGCCTACCCAGCGTAGGTCTCCACTGCCCTCTTGGATCAATCCAAGATCTGGTCCTGGACCTCGGGCGCCGAGCTGCACATAGCAGCCTCTCACTGCTCCTTACTATTAATGTGTAGAGAATTGGGTGGTGGGTTTCGAGTACACCCCCACATGATATGGTCTAGGTTAGCTCTTTGTTGAGAGAAAATGCACGAATGGGAGGGGTATATCGCAGGGTGTATAAATGGCGAAAAGATGGGGTCGGAAACGTACGGGTCTGTAACTGGCGCCATAGTATATGATGTAAGGGTGGGGGGGGGGGGGGGGGGAGGGTATATAGTGCGCTGTAGGCGGTAGTGATTTGTTATATCGTGGAAGGTCAAAAGACGATCTCTCGCACTGAAAAAGGCCGCGTGGTCTAAGGCGCCATCAGAGGCCTGCGCTCGGCCGGTGATTCCTCGAGCACAGGTATGAGCCGCATCATTGCCACTCAACCCCGCATGCGCGGGCGTCTATATGAGAGCAACGTCTTGCGTGGGAGGATGTTTTTTAAGAATTGAAAGGGCAGTTGATGAGACGCGACCTGCGCTGATGTTGCGTATGGCAGTTTTGGAGTCTCTTACAATCATAGTGATATTGGGGATGGATAGACCTAAAGCGATGGCAGCCTCCTCTGCCTCCTCCGAAGAGTTGACAGTGATGAATGCCGTACATCCGTGCCTCAGACCCTTGTTGATTTCAACGCTGTCGTTGTTACTTATTCCTTCCCATTATATGCAAACTGTATTTTCTCGGTATATTTCTCTCAAACGCCGTCACCTATGCCAATCGTCATGCCAAACCAACTAGCCCAAACCGCCACGCTTCTAAGTCGTCACTGGCCTCCATCAATCAGTGAGCGTCGTGCCTAATAAGTGTGCCCGCCGCGGAGGAAGGAAAGATAGGAGAGGGCATGCCCAGCCGGCGCGCTACGTGAAAAGTGTGGATAGGGTGGTAGCCACCCCAGTGTGAAGGAAATTACACCATGGCGGCCACATTCACTGGACACAGTGATGGCGTTGCTATTGTTACGTGCTGCGCAGTGTAGCTGATCTAGCAGTGAGCGGCCGCGGCTGGCAGCAGCATGTGTGCCTCCGCAAGTCTCGTGCTGAGCCGCGGCGGACAATATCCGTGCTCTGCGCCGCGTTATTGGTTACGCAGCTTCTCCTGGCAGTTACTATACTCTTAGCAACGCTTACAAAACCTTTCGTCCACCACGAGGCTTGAACAGTACGTGCGTAGAACGAACGCATATCCATGTGTCGTGCGGCGGATGACGCAGATGCAGCATTTGAAGTGTTCAGAGAAATTGCGCTGGGCACCATCGCGAAGTGGAACGAAGACGAACATCTTGAAGGTCAGTGATGGTTGGGCACTGCATGCTCCCAGCTGCTTGTGGCAACGGACGAAACTGTTGTGCCCAGCAAGACGCGGACCATGTGCACATATACGTAGTTTCGTGTTAGGAATGTGTACAGTAACAACTTGCATGTGCGTAATAAAAGACCTTTTCTGTACCGCTTGTTATACTCGCCCCCAGCATTGTAATCTCAATGTTAGAGCAACCGCATTAAAGTGTCACTTGCACCGTGCTCAAAGTCACCACGGTCGCAGAATGCTGACGCCGGTGAGTTTCACGCGGAACACGGGCACAGTGGCCGGGCGCTGCATCGGCCTCGTGTCGAAATGCAACCGTAGAAGAAGGCGCACGGCCTGATCGTGTTGTCTGCACAGTTGCTGAATTAATCGAGAAAACACTCGCCGTTGTCAAGTGCATCTAGCACGCGTTCTCACATGCTTTCGTTGTCGGCGAGCCGTTACTCGCTGTTAATACTCGGACGAAATGATTTCGCCGAAGGTGTCGCGCTGGCCCAGAGTGTTGAGCCCCGTTTCATTAGTTTCGGATCATCACGACACGCGCGCTGCGCAGCGCACGCGCTTTCCGAGCAGGGGAGAGAGTCGCGCCTTCTGCTTTACATTCGGATGTAAATAAGAGAGGAGAATTTGCCCAGTAAATATGGCCGACGTCCGGCTTCACCACGGCTTCACAACGAGTGACGTCAGGGCCTCTCCTGTTTTTTCATTCCTCCATGGTGCCCGCCTTTGGCTGTGTTGCGATTGACGTCGTCCATCCCGTCGCAGACATGATGAGGCGCCGAGCACGCGTGCACCGAGTTTCCCCTTGAATATTCCACATGGGAACTACCATTCTATCATTGAGGAAGGAAAAGCTGTCTATTCTAGTACATGGGTATGCCGCGGACAACTCTAGAGGGGTGCCGACACTGTAAACGTGAGAGAGCTCGAATTAGCCAATCGACCAATTGAGACGGCTCGTGACCCCATTGTCGGACGGTTTTTTGTTTCTCCTAGCCATATACAGCTTTCCTGTAAAAACGCATCGTTTCGAGGCTACGCTCCTCCTTTCTATTCTATTAGAAGGTCTACTCTAGCACACGTCTAGCACACGCCACTTTCGTTGCTTGAGAAGTTTGCTTGCCAGGTATTAGTTTCGGTTCTGGTTCTCATAGTTTGTGCATCATCATCATCATTGATTCAAGCGGAACACGCAGCGGTCACCACATCCGTCTGAAGCTTTCGTCTGTGTGTGCGGTGTGGTTAGTGTGTTCTCGATCAAAGCGATGTTGGTGGCTTCGCGTCTGCCTGAATTACCCTCTGCGAGCCGTTAAAACAACCCATCTTCGCGTCATTCGTCACTCTACATTTGGAACCATGCTATGGTAAGGCAGTGGCTGAAAAATGCTTTCGCTGAGTGCGTGCTACCGCTTCAAACCACTCTTGACTGATGTTTTTCGAGTTTCTCTTTCGTCCCGGCGTTCATATAACACGCTATTGTGACAAAAAACTTATAATCAGTCGTTGCTAGAAGTTATTACTGCCTTGCGCCTGCTTTTCGGCACTGTTAGATGGTCACCAACGTCAAATGCTAACGTGCGCGGAAGTATTTACGCTCCGTGTTGAGGCTTCGTTGGGAATTGTGTTCGTTAGCATTCACGACATATTCAGCTCGGTAACATTGCTGACGTAGTTGCTACAGGTCATTCTGGTGCCGTTTTTTACGTGCGCTTTCTAGGGCATCGAATTTCATTATCGCTAGCGGTGCGTTTTGCGGAAGCAGTCCACAGAGCACTTTCGAGTGAGCTCCGATTGGGATCAAGTACCTCGACCGCGACTGGTATGCTTTCTCATCGTTTTTCTATTCAGCTTAATTTGATCTTAACATTTTACAATACAGATAATGAAGCTGTCAGTAAAAGCTGTCCAAGAGCATCTTGAAAGTTCAGAAACCGAATGTTAGCAGGGAAACAGTAGCGGAGCTTGTACCTATTGAAATACTGGGGTAATTATTAAAAAACACACACACGACGCAGCAATATTTGCCTATAAATAACCTCAATACACGTTATTTAAATACAGTGGGAAGTTATTCGCGCAAACCAGAAAAATCAAAATTAATGACAGCATATGCTATAGCCATCAAGGAGATATGAAAGAGTGTAATACAGGCATTCTTTTCCACGTTTTTTTTTTAGTCGTATGCATTATCCACTCGCCACGTCTCGCTGCAAATCGTACTGCTTTCTTTCTTGGTTGTGCACGTCCTGAGGCTCGTTATAACATTTTCGTTTAAATTCCGTACTAGTCAATAGTTATTAAGGTTGTGTACTTCAACCACTCGGGAACAACTTAACAAGGCGGCGCTGAAATGTTGGTGTAAGTTATACACAGTTCTACACAGAAGCTATAATAATAAAGTATGGGGGATGTTAGTAGAAACAATTGTAATGTAAATGTGAAGAAAGAAGAGTGGACGAAAATATAATTTGCCACCGACAGGGGCCGAACCTCGGTCCCTGCCAGTTTCATCCACTTTTCTCTCAAAGCAAAATTTTCAGAGCGAAAAATCAGTGACACCGTGAGCGAACCGGGTGGCATTCGAAATGTCGAAAATCAAAAGGCCGAGCTATCTGAATGCCTAAATTTAAAACACTGAAAAATCAAAATGCCAAAATTATAGGAAGTCAAAAATTTTAAATGCTAAAAAATAAAACACCGAAGCATCGAATTGCCAGCATCACCTAGCTATACTGGAACATAATGTATAATCGCAAGATAAAGGTTCCACCGGCTTTGTATGATATGCATGCGCTTTCGCACTCATTTCCAACGGCCATGTTCTCTTCGAACATGGTTCAGTCATTCAAAACTCAGGGCCATCTAGGTTGTTCGGGACCCGCCCTCGAGGCCGAGCTCCTGCATGGCTCATGTGGGCAGTCCGCTTTTCTTTTCCTTCTCACAATCTGGCGCAAGGCACTCTGAAGATGTTGCCTTGAAGACGCTAGAACATATTCCGTGACTTGCTGCACAAGCTTCACAGGTGCCTCGCCCGAGGCCACTGCCAGAACTTTGATCCACTCTTGAGTGCGAAGACCATCGTTCTAGAGACATCCGGAGCATGGTTAGTGTAGACCCCTTTTTTTCTGGGCGACTTCACAAGTACTTTATCCATGAATGTCGGTAATCATTCAAGCATCATACTTGCCTAGCCTTTTGCACCTCCAGTAGTGTCTAGAATGTATACTTCTTTAAAGCATAAATCTTGTCACAAACGACTCCAATTTTCGGAGCATCCGCGGGCCCCACCTACCAAGGAAGGGCGTTTTTGTGTTGGGAGACGACATCCGGCGACTATAACGACCCAGCGTAGCGCCGGCTCGTCTTCCCTGCCCCTGACCGGAAGGGGAACCGGCTGTCTCAACAGGGAGAATTACTCCCAGATGAGACGGGAACACGTGTACGCCCCCGAGGAGGTTTGAACTGCATCGGAAGAGCAGTTGACGTACAGCCAGCAATAAGTGCGGTCGTCGGTGTCGCGAGTCTCGCGTAGGCGGCGAGCACGGAGTGACCCGCGCAACGTATTGAGACGGCTGCAATTCCGGGCACCCTCGTCGTCTACCAAGCCGGCGAGACCTTCAGCGGCACCCGTCAACTCCCCTACGTGCACCAAGAGCTGGTTTGGTCCGTATGGAACTTTTTATTGTGACTTTTTGTTAAACCGTAAACTTGTTTTAACCAGCCTTTTTTTAAATATTTGTAGTGTGCGCTGCGTCGCACGTTTAAATTCTAAAGCACCACCATGATCATTCTGTAATTAATTTCTAGTGTCTCTCTCCTTTAATTTCCATCTTGTTGTTATTTTATTAATGTTCCGCATATTTGTCTTTGGCCTGTATCTTTTGTAGTGTTTTTGCCCATTTTGTTATGTAGCTGTTCTTTCTATCGCGCGTATCAGTTTTCCTCCTTTGTTATTTTTTGTAATCTCCTGCCTTTGCCCCTGTTTTAATTAAATGCTTGTTTATGTGTAATCAAACTCCGTGTCTGCTCTATGAGTGCGTCGGTCAGGCCCACACATCACCACACGTGCAACCCCGCACGGGTCGACCAACCCGCAAATAAATTCGAAATGTGCCACTTCGAGGCCTTTCAGGCGTCGCAGGCCGAAGCGTAAAGTGGAAGCCTGCGAGTCTGCCGCACGTCGATGTTGGATCGGCGGGGCCTCACCCGAAGTGTGTGACAAATCTACACATAATAATTTTGCATCAAAGTTTTGCTTTTCTCTTCTGGGAGCACACTTCAACAGTGTCTTCTTCCAGTTTCTGTCAAATGACAATTATCTCACATTGCTGCTGCTTTTGTGCTCCGAACGCTGGACACCACTGTTTTTTTTCCCCGCTGACCCATAAGAGCTGCCATGTTATTAATATGCCTAGCTTCGCAACCGGTCAAAAATGCGAAATTTGACATCGGTTTAATATTCTGATGCTGGTACATTTGCAGATTGAGAATAATATGAGGGAAAGCCAAGTAGGTTAACCAGAAATTGGTGCACCCGGTTGGCTACCCTGCATTTAGGGAAAGGGGAAGAAAGATGAGAAAGAAAGCGAAGAGCAAAATAGACGCATGAAAAAGAAAAAAAGTGAGCGGGGGTGCTATAGCCTATTCAGTAGGCCGCTACCACACAAAAAGTTCACCAAGGTCTTAAAGAGCTAGATCAGGGGACAGTGACACGGCAGAAAATGAACAAGTAGTAGTCACAATTTAAAAAGCATGTCATTTATTTTTCACATGGTTGAATAAAATTTCCTGCGCGTTGTTTCGGCGTTCTGGCTGTTCGGTGTTTTGATTTTTCGACTTTTTGTTTTGGCATTTCACTTTTTCGGCATTTCAATTTTTCGTTGTTTTGGCATTCGGCCTTTTCATAGTTTGGCTTTTTGTTTTTCGGCGCCTTTATAGGGACCCGAACGAAGCTTCAAGATACATGCATTTAAATAAATAATGAAAATCTTCGGCTTTAGTGAGAATCGAAGCCAGGACTACTGCATGGCAAATATGTGTTCAACCACGAGCCAAGCCCGTGCTTTAAATTGTAAGAGAAGAAGAAAAAAACTATATCTAGGTCATGTACCTGATGCATGTAATATTGCATATTAGAAACCTAGAATCGCTTCCGGTGTCGAAACATGCATTGTGCGATAAGTGGTTGGTTTATAGGCCCGCATTTTACCAAGTGCACAGGCGTAATTAATCATCATTATCTACAGCAATTTCAACATAGAGTGCAGCTGGCAGATGCACATGTTGCCCTATGCACTTGTAGTGGGAACGCGTGTGCAGTGGGCTCGATTATCCTATTACATTCTGTTCTTTGAGGGGAAGTTCAAGCATCCTCTCAATTTTTTCTGTGTGTAAATTTAAAAAAGGAGCTGTGCTTATTATTAGTTTTTTGTCATGTTTCGATATTTCCGTTTCTCGAAAAATATGCATCGTTTTATGTACCATTTCACATACGTGCTCAGGCGCCACCATCTTGGACTGGTCATATTGCAGTCTTGTACCCGATCCAAACTAACAGTGCTGTGGTGAACTCCAAGGCACTGCAACACTTGGGGTGGTACATTCAGTGTTTCGGGACTCCCACGACCATTTCAGATTACGACATGCAAAAGCGGTACAATGATTACTTCTCAGCCCAAGATAGCAGTGCCCATGAGCATAAAAACATTGTTTATATTTGAATACTTCTTTCTTATTTCTCATAGAGGCATAATATAAAAGGGTCAGCCTATATTCATGGTCAACCTTGTGTAAACTAAATATGGTAGCTATTTTGAGCATTGTTCTTTTGCATTAAAAGCAGCTGATGCATGTGTCTCAAAACCTTTCGTCACATTACTTGCCGTTAAGTTAGCTTCTTTTGGAAGGGTGTTATTAAGCTGATCTTTGTCTGCTCATGGTTCTTTTTTTTAAAACATGTTCGTCTAATTGAATATGTATATGTGTGTGTCTTGTTACAATACGTTTTGGCTGATAGCTTGCACCATGTTTTGTATCCCTTTTTTGATGTTCCCATTTTTTTTAGCACCTCCGCGTTAAAATGAGTTACCAACTTTCCCAGCATTGCATATTTTTTATTTGCATTATAAGATGATATTCATTCCTAAGGTTTGCGGGTGAGGAGTTGATGCTTGGTGAAATTAGCTTTCTCATATGATAGTCTCTGCAGGATGAAAGAAGTCAAATTTGTTTCCATTTTTAAAGCTTTTTTTATATCAATTTCGCACATGAGCATAAATGTAATTCAAATAGGGCAGGTAAAATACAGCATGTTTTCCCCAATGGTTTTAGTGATTTCTGCCTCAATACTGTCATAAACATCCACATAATTCATAATCACCATATCCAGATTGAAATAGATAATGCTTGGTATGGATATATTTCAAAATGTCAAGAGTGCATGAAACGGTAGCAAGAGAAATGAAACAGACACAAAGAGTGCACTTTTGCCTCTCTTTGTTCGGTTCTTTTTCCCATTTTCTCACGCACTCTTAAGAATTTGTGGTGGATCAATATCCACTAAGTGTTTCTGTATAATGAACTGTGTGCTCACAAATTTTATAATATGGCATTGTTGAGCATTTTGGGTCTCCTTTCTTTATAAAAATGATTTCGTAGTTGTACCAGTTTTGCTTGAGGGTAGACATGATAGACATTTCAATGAAACCTCATTAAGAAAAGTGAGTACCGATCCTTTCTTTTGTAGCTTATGCAGGGCATCACTGGCAGCCGTGCCTGTTCGTGTTGGTGTTCGTGAGGCCAGCAACATGTCATTCATTAGCCGTGTGAAACGGGCAACTTATGTGCGACAATACCCGACAGTGCTTGTGCAGCCAGATGGTTCAACTATCACTGTGCGCTACCACGAACCACGCAGCCTCATAAAGGTAAATCCACACACTCTCTTTCCATATGGTCTAGCATGGCTGGAATCTCGTGCATTGCACAGCTTTTTACTCCACTTCTCTCATCATGATCGTACCTATAAGCCTGTTTATACCTACCTCACGATGAAGGCCTCTCCCGTTGATCATCAATTTACCCTACCACCTGTGAGCTTACTTCATTTGATCCTGGTGATGATATTATCAGTGCCATTCTCGGCTTCATTTACCATTCCTTAGGCTTGTATACATTGCAACCTTATTCTTTTGGCTCAATTTTCTTATTATTTCTATTTTTTAATGTACTTTATGAACAAGTGTGAAAACAACATTGACAAATCAACATCGGTTATCTTTTGCCCTGCTTACTATTTTTATGCGCATACAATGCATTCAGTGCCCAAGAACGATAATCAAAATGAAAAATAAGGTTGGTTGGTGAATACGGACTTTAGTATCCATTCCATTGCATTAACCAACCACAATTTGTTTGTCCTACACATTGGGAGTCAGCTCAGATAGTTCTTTTTTCTCTTCATGTAAACTAAAATGTCGGCTATACTATTGTTTGTTCTTTGTCCTATTCGGTTGTCTTCCAATCTTCCCATGTTTTTCCTAACATTTACTGTTCTTTGCATGTTGCATGTTAAAACTTGCAGTATGTAATCATTGCATACTTCGTCTCCATAACCACAATTTGTTTGTCCTACACATTGGGAGTCAGCTCAGATAGTTCTTTTTTCTCTTCATGTAAACTAAAATGTCGGCTATACTATTGTTTGTTCTTTGTCCTGTTCTGTTGTCTTTCAATCTTCTCATGTTTTTCCTAACATATACTGTTCTTTTGCATGTTGCATGTTAGAACTTGCAGTATGTAATTATTGCATACTTCGCCTCCATCGCTCTTGTAATTGCTAATATCTTATTCAGCAATCAACGGCTCTAGTCGCTTTTGAGATAGTAGTAAGTCTCAAAGAGGATATTTTTCCTGTATGATCCCTGATAAAAAATTTACATTGAAGCAAGATCCTTATAGAGCACTGGTGGTACTGAATCCTAGTACACCAAATATTTGTTGTGCAGCCATTGTGAGCTTCAGTAATGCATGGTTGTGAATCATACTACTACTTTCTGATGGTATGGCAAAGGAACAGCAAATAAGTAAACAAAGCTAGTGCTGCTTATTAATAGAATCACACTTGCTAAAACAAGCTAAAAACTTTTCTGACTTTGTTTTTATGACAGGTAGTTAGCCTCAGGTTTTACTTACTTGCTATTTTACTTGATGGTATTATGTTACTGAGATTTGTCATTCAGGCCACTAAAATAATTTCAACAGGAATTTAGAGTATCATGTTTCCAATGGGCTACACCTGTATTTAGCTCACCTGTATTTAGCTCACCTGTATTTCCATATACGTACTATTGTGCTCGGCAATTGACATGCAATAGCTGGCTCTTGTGGTGGCCTGTGCTTTTTTATATCGCAAGTGAGTGCTAGATGACAGCTTATTAGTCAGGAATTATGGTGCTGAAGCAAGGCTTTTGCTTTGCTTCAGCATCATAATACCACTGGCACAAAAGCTTTCACTTACTGTCCACCCAATTATTTCATTCGAATTGCTGACTATCGTACATACAAGCAATGAGACAAAGTACTATGTGAACTCTAATCATTTTGCCGAACATTCTACAATTGACTATTGCACATACAAGCATTGAGGCATGTACCATGTGAACTCTTATTATTTTGCCGAACATTGTACAATTGAGCGCTGCAATCACTTTCGTTCTTTTTGGGGGCAGCTGCCATTGAAGTTCGAAGAGTTGACACCAGAGGAGCAGCAGCTCGTGCTTGTCAAGAGGAAACCTCCAGAGGTAGTCGTCATACAGGAAGAATTAGAGGACAATTTCGATAGCCAGCGATATCTCAAATTCATCAAGAAGAAAAAGAAGTAGCTAGTTCTTTGTCTATGCTAGATTTGCGTTAAAAAAAGAAAGCCGCTTGCATCGAGATGTTATCTATGACACTGTAGACTGGTCTGGCAACACCGAACTCCATGTTCTTGAGTGCGAGTGGCATTAAAGATGTTTACCATTGTCAACCCCTTTGGTGTTTGCTCATGGTGTTGTGCATAAAGATATATGACAGCTGTTGTCAATAATCACTCAATTGGTCTTGTGCTTTGGACATGGCTGTATGAGACATTGGTACCCAAGGACTCACACTGTCACTCTTCCTGTGGCAGTCCAAACTGTCTTGTTTTAGTAAGTCTTCTCACTTGTGTTATTGTTGATAGGGGTATGGTATATTTAAAAATGTGTGTAATTAATTTGTCTTGACTACTAACTCATATTCTTTGACTCCGGCACGTTTTATGTTGCAACTCACATTACAGTTGAACCAGTTATAAGAGGCCCTGATATAAGAGATGAATAGGTATAAGAGACACCAGCAAGCCTACAGTAAAATATGTGTTGATCAGAAAATGCACACCAGGTGCCCTGCTTATAGGAGACATCTCATATAAAAGACAAGAAATCCTGCCCAGAGCATGTCTCTTATAAAGGAGTTCAACTGTACTTTGAAGTAGTGAAAAGCAACCCTTTGTTCGCTTCTGGTTGCCCTATTAATTGCTCTGGCATTGTAAATGCCAATGTCAGTGTTCGCAATCATCGAATGAGATGTGTTTTCCTGTGTATGTTAACACCTTTCTCGCTAAAAAATTTTTTACAGGATAGTTAACTGCATTATTTAGGGCATGGAAAAGTACAGCCTCTATAAAGTTGAAATTTTGCGTGTGAATATTTACACGCACTCATACACGGGCGCAAGAACATGCATAATGTATGGTGGACCTCCCCACCCCTGAAGCAAGTTTGTGGCTACGCCCCTGCTATCTTTCCATGTATTGCTTTCACCCCTCCTTCTAGCACCACTTCTACACCGTCAGTCATTCTGAGATTATTCCTTCTTGCAATTACCCCCCCCAATTTTTCTAATTATGTGTTCGTAGTCTAATCTTAAAGAAGAAAAGTCGATTTTACCGCAAGGTTACCTTGGTATTTTTGTGTACCTTTGTACTATACCTTTGTATTTGTGCGTACTGCCAAGCTACCAAGTAACAAGACACACAGGGAAGTGATTGATGGGTATTTTATTAGCAAGAAATCTGACCATTGGTTAACCATGCCTTCTTTGACTTTGCTCCAAAAAGAGGTTCAATTTTTGACGGCTTTGTCCTGCTTTGGTTTTTCTCGGGATGCAGAGTGTCCTGGTGAAATTCTCAAAGTCAGCCGAAATTAGCTTTTTAGCTGATTTTGAGATTTCATGGTGAAGCCCAGACTGCGTGCTGCACTACAATATTTGGCACACATGTTCTCGGGAGATTCGACTACCAAGCGGCAGCGTTCTCTGACCATGCTAAAAAAAGTGTTGCTGTGCGATCATGTGGTGTTACCGAAAATCACCGGTTACATTGACCACTCACGCATGCAAATGAGTGGCAAAGCGGTTTGTAGGTATATACAAAGTTTATTGGTCATGAATGGTATGTTGCATAGAATGGTGAATTTCATTTTGCCTTCATTATTACTGGTTTGTGGTATTGGATATAGGAAGAAGTTGGCAAAGTCCAGCAGCATGTTCCCTTTGTGGTTAACAAAGGTGAAAACAACCACCCGTTTGTAGCACAAAGCCACAAGGAAATTCATACGGATTTCCCTTTCTTTCCCTTTCTTAACCCTTCCGCCACCTTGCGGCTTTCCGCAGAACTCATTTGCAATACTTGTCTCTGTGTGCTTCCAGTTGTCAATGAATGCGACCTCGCACTGTCAATTGCTGGCTTCCTGGTTAGCTCAATAGGCAGTGCGACCACCCCGGATAAGCGTTGGTCCCGGACTCGAACCCCTGACCAGTACGAATTTTTCGGCAACCAAGAGGCTTTCTTTATGAGAAATCCGTATGGATTTCCTTGTGGCTTTGTGCAACAAACGGGTGGTTGTCTTCTTTCTTTTTCTTAACCCTTCCGCCACCTTGTGGGTTTCTGCAGAACTCATTTGCAATCCCTTTGTGGTTGTCGGTTGCTTCCAGTTGCACGAAATGCATCGTAGAGTGTATCGAGATGTCATATACTGCACAAGCCAGTCGTTGCCCGTAATCATCAGCGTCATGGTCATAACGGCTATGGCGCGTGCCAACAGACAAGCCTCAACCTTAGAGAGGTACAGACACAAGATCTTTGGCCTCGTTTTATTCTGCTGCAATGTGTTGCTGGGGGCCTGTTAGTCTTGACACGACATATCGTCTGCTGCAGCTCGGGACGCGCATTTTGAAATGCTGGCGCCGCATCGCACGCGAGAGAGAAAAGAAAGAGAGCGAGGAGGAAGCCGGCCGCTCTGTCAGGACTGCTCGCGCGCTATTGGTCCTTTCTCTCAAGGTCACGTGGCTGGGGACGTGCGTGCCTGCGAACGCACACACGAAGTGTTCACGGCTGTTTCATTGCGCGGAAGCACCCTCGCTACTCGCTGCTGCCTTTGGTCGGCCGCTCACGCCCATGCGCCACCGTGCGGTGAGGCACCTGCGAGTGGTTTTGATTAGGTGGTGATAGTTTCGTGTGCGAAGTCGCTCCAACTTATAAATGTGAAGTGCCTCCGCGTCAACATATGCATGGATGGCAAGGTGCACGAGTGAATCAATCACCAGCTACAACGAGGCATCAAATACGACGTCGATCATTGACAGCAATACCGACTACTTTTTCGGCGTTGAATTCGTGAGGCAATGAGCTCCTTTAGCGTGTCCCTTCCATGACTACCTATAAAAGGGTTGCAGGGCCTCTTTAAGAGACATGAAGAGAGCAGAGTGGACCAGGGAACAAACGGGGGTAACGATATTATAGTTGAAATCAAGAAGAAATAGACGTGGGCCGGGCACGTAGCGCGTAGGCAGGAGAGCCGCTGGTCACTAAGGGTAACTGACTGGATTCTAAGAGAAGACAAACGTACGACAGGGAGACAGAAATTTAGGTGGGTAGATGAAATAAGAAGATTGCAGTTATAGGGTGGCAGCAGAAGGCACAAGACCGTGTTCACTGGTGGAAAATGAGAGTGGGAGCGTAAAAGGTAAAAACAGCGCAAACTAAAAGAGATGGACGAAGAAACAACAGACAGGGTGAGCGCTCCATGTCTGTTATTTATTCGTCCGTCTCTTCTAGTTTGCGCTATTTTTGCCTTTTACCTTGTTTGACCAACTAGCCCAACAAAACACACCTATGAGAGACGCCTTTGCCCTGCAGTGGGCGTAGTTATAGGCTGATGATGAATCACTGCCATACTAATTGAGATCGTTCTAACAATGACCACACCGATTCAGCTACTAAGTCGTAACACTGATTAATATCTCATTATTTAGGACCTTTATAAATAATTTATCGACAAGTTATAGGCTCGTGACAGTGCTTTCCGCAATTTTGTTCTTACCCAAGCCTTCCCGTTGATTTCGGATGATATTCATCTAAATATCACCGCATCTCGTCGGGTACCCCAGATAATCATAAAAGAGACACCAAACGAGAAAGTAATTATTGTCTCAGCATAATAAGAGAAGTTCAGTAGTTTGGTCACGTTCTCGCGGGATTCACGAGGAACCCAGCTGTCGTCAGTTTTATAAAAGTGACGCGATCACCACCTGTAAAGTTCACTCTAATATAAGTTACGCACTTCATTGAGACTACCTTCGAGGCGCTGAAGGCTGCAAGGATGGATGGATGAACCTTATTTGCTACCCGCCATCAGTAGCTTTTCTAATCAAAGACGCGTTTGGTATACACTTTAACTTAAATATTCTAATTTCTCTTGAGGGTTAGCTGTCTGGTCGTAATGTACAAATAAATATTGACACTTTTATTTGTCTGTACGTTTATTGTCCTTATAATCGAAAATCACTACTATACATATTCAACAGCTCATATCAGCAATTTTCTTCGAAGTCCCGTCTGTGGCGGCGAATTATATAAGAGGGCACAATAGCATCATCATCGCCTGTTTCCTCGCGCTCCGCGCGTGATAGAACAGAAAGGACAACGAAGAAGACTGCAAGTGTCGGTGAAAGTACGTTCTCACTACCGTCTACGAGGTACAGATATGGCTGCCCGTGAACCACAAGACGTGCCGACTGGGTCACCAGGGACCACAGACAAGGCGGAAAGTATCAAGAAAGGCGCTCCGCCCGAATCACCCGAGTGCAGCAGACCGTGTGAGGCGGGTAAGGGTGCAACCAAGTCACCGAAGGAGAGAAACAGATCGCCAGGAGTGACTCGGTCCTCGTCCCAGTTAGCGCCTGGTAAGGGGCAGAGCTCGCTAGTTTCTGAGAGAAGGTCGCATGGTTCCAAAAGTGAAGCTTGCAGCGCAACCACTACCACAACGTCAACCCCATCGCGAGGGTCCTCGCGGCCGGCAGAAACCCCCGGATCGCCACCGGCCAAGGCAGGAAGCCTACTGTCAACCAGCAGGGTCACAGGGCGACGTGAAGATGTCCATGGAGCAACCAAGTCGCTGAAGAAAAAAGCATCGCCAGGAACGACTTTATCCGATTCCCGGTCGCTGGCGAGAAAGGGGCAGAGTTCGTCGGTCTCCCAAAGCAGGTCGCCTAGCCGCAAGAGTGAAGCACGCAGTGCAACCACTACGACAACGTCGACACCATCGCGACGGTCACAAACCTCCGGATCACCACTGACCAAAGTAGGAAGTTCGAAGTCCACCAGCAGGGACACAGGGCGACGTGATGACGGTCATGAAGCAGCCAAATCACCGAAAAAAGGGTCGTCGGAAACGGTTTCATCCGTGTCCCGGTCACCGGCGAGTAAGCGGCAGAGGTCATTGGTTACCGGGATAGAATCACTGGGCCGCAAGAGCAAAGCGAGCGGTGGAGCCGCTGCGCCGACGTCGACTCTACTTGGAGGATCCCCGCTACCGGCAGTAGCCCCCCGGTTGCCACCTACCGAGGCACGAAGCCCACTGTCTACCAGCAGGGACACCGAGCTACGCGAGGATGATCACGGAACAACAAAGGTGCCAAAGAGTGAAGTATCGCCAAGAACGAATTTATCCGAGTTCCAGTCGCCGGCCAGTAAGGGTCAGAGTTCTCGGGCTTCTGGGACAAGGT